AAAACACCCCCGATTTCTTACCAAACATCCTCCTTCAGTACTCGCACACTAAAGCTGGTCAATTTTACTGTATTTTTTGCATAATTAATAAGGTAAAAACTCGAATTTTCGTTTTTCCCCATTTCCTCGGACACATTTGATTTTTCAAACTTTAAAATAATTTTTTTGAATGTATCTCCCAAAAAAGGGTTTTCCAGGCAAATTATCAGAATTTTCGATTTTTTTAGCCTGGCCAGCGATTCTCGATATTTACAGTCACGGCCTCTTATCTTCATCCCAGTTTCCCTCTTTCATCAAGAGGCAAGGCCGCTAAGCTATGTTTGCTCTTGTCCCCGATCACGAACGCAACTTCACGCGATCATTACTGAGGAAATAAAACAAAATGTTAGTGTACTTGGAATACAAATCTAGCAAAAACTACCCAAGTATCTTTCTTTTACCTTTTTTTGACTTAAAGACCATTTTGAAGATATGACTAGCCATTTTTGTTTGCATTTGCAATGTTTGTTCGATCGATGTCATGCCATGCTAGATTATTCATCGCGATGAATTTTATGATATAAACAAATATATCTTGGCGATGTGCGGCACTCGCCAGGTCTTTTGCCCTTTCGAGAAAACGTGAAATTATTTTTTTTCAAGAAAATATGGTCAAAAGTCGGGGTGCGGCTTACTCACGTGCGAATACGTTAACTTGATTATAAAATAATAATAAATTTAAAATCCTTTTTTACAAACTTCATCCATATTTATGTCATGAAGGCAATAAACCGCACTTTTTATCAGCATAATAAACCACTCTTTGAGTGTTCTTCCAACATACCGCGTGGTTTATTTCGTCAGTAAACTGATAGAAATGCAGTTTATTTCTGAATAATATAACTTAGACAAAACGTGCGCTCTGATTGGTAAAAATCTATGGTGCCACGCGGAACGAATTCCCAGATTTAAATTTATTGAAGGCCTTTGCTTTAGAAGGAACGCAGAGGGCGCTTTGAACGCCGCCGAAAAAAAACGATAAATATTTTATTTTTCTAACATTTCTCAAATGTTGCTCTCAAAATGCATTTTAATGTGCCATCGAAGAATATTTCAATTTGGACGGTGAAAACGCTAACTCTGTGGTCAGAATTGTTCTTCAACTGCGATAGCTATCCTATAAACAATCCGAGAAGCTCTAAGGACATACAAAAACAATCATTCCGTACCAGAGAACAGCCAGATGCAGACTTCTCATAATCAAATCAATAGCAGCAGTCAGCGACATAAAGACTGCTGTCCCCCTAACCAGTTCCATACGATTTTAAGAACTATTTAATTTATATTAGAGTTGACTCAGTGTATTTGAATTTTCAGCATTTGAATTGCTGACTCGGTGCGCTCGACCACCATGTTTGTGTATGGTGTGTTTCATTGAGATTAGTCGATTAAAACCTAAGGTCTATCAGAGGTAAACGCCATCTTCATATCGCAATTCTGTATTTATAATGAAGTATAGGGTTACAGGGAAATCTTGCCCACTCCTTTCCAGGACGAAGAAGTTACTGATCCCGTACATATCGCGGTTCATTTTTGAGCTAGAACTCAATTTTTTAGAGGATAATTTTACGCTTATATTGGAGATACTGATGGAAAAATACATGCAATTGTAATGAAACATGTATTTAATCTTACGAGCTGAGCGCGTTTCCGCCAGAAGTAAAAATGAATCTGAGACACGCCCACAAAAGACTTATTTTCGCGTTTCACTGTCATACTCTTATCTAAACTCACCAGATGACCAGTGAGAGCTCGCGCACTATCTCATTTATTTTATAAATACGGCCATATCGTAAGTGATATTATTGTAAGTAATGCATTCTATTACATTGTACTGTCAAGTACTATAAAATTTATTAGTTTTATTATAAAAAAAGAAAATTAAAAAAATTTCGGCCATACATATTACTTCATCTCAAGGATGAATTATAGATTTCATAAGAGCTTCTTCCTACATTGCTGGCAGCGCCCGTTTCTTGGCGTTTTTATAGACCTCGACTTCATCTGAGTCTGTGAAACGCGTAAGAAGAAGCCAGTCAATTTCCAGGCATCTCCATCGAACGCTTGAGCAACAATGCATATATCTTTTGACCTATTTGCCGACAACAACAGCACTGCCTATGAATGACAATTTACACAAAAGATTCATTGCCTCCAAAAATGCACCGCCTCCTCATTACCGTGAATGAGTGATATGTCTAATAGCAAGGGATTTTTATTCGATAGAGATCACGTTTTTCTATGACTGGCAAAAGGAACTTCTTCTTAACTCTTATTAATTTTAGACACAAAATTGCAGCCTATACATTGACTTTCAATGCAGCCAAAGTATATAATAGTAGTTGTTTCGTGGGTAAAGTGAAGGCAGGTGTTAGTGAAAAATATGCAGTAAAGATACGAGAACATATGGCGCATTTAATTAACAGTAAAGAATAGCCCAGTCATCATTCATCTAATTAACGTATGGGATCTTTATGATGTTTTCCGACATACCTTGCTGGTTACATTTTCAAATTCATCCTTGATAGAGAATTGTTAGGTTACATTTTCAAATTCATCCTTGATAGAGAATTGCTAGGTCACAGGATACGTCAGTGCGGACATTTCGTGATATTTACTGAGCTCGTGGTTCAAAGTTTTAGAACAGTCGTCTTATTTCCTAAATTCTTAAAATGCTCAAGAGCTCAGTAGGTTTGAATAATTAATACTAGGTCACATAGCCAGAAATGAAAAAACCAAACAGATAATTGTGCCCTGGGAGGCTTAATTTAAATATAAATTTGTGCTATCTATTCAAAGATAGACACCTGTCTAATCATCATGGATGAGGTATATGGTAATTTTTTCGCCTATCATTCTATAAGCGGAAAGATGCTTTGCCAAACGTTTTGAGAGCATTGCTCTGGCTAGAGTCATTTCATCTTCGAGATAAGGTAAGGAAATTATAGAATATATAAGTTAGGCGATTAGTGCTGCTTAACATGCGCTAAAGAGATAAAATAATGACATTGAGGCAGCTCGGGAATTCAGATTAGGAGGGCCCCGGTAATTGAAACAATGTATGTACGACATGCCAAAAAATGTGAAAAGCATTTCGCGGCACGCTTGTTAAGTTCTGGAAGGTGTTCAACAATATTTCGTGGTCGGAGTAAAGATTAAAAGCAAATTACCAACAGCTAAATTTAAAGAGCAGAACCCAGACTGTTCGAGAAATTTGAAAGTAGTAATTACGCCCTTACCGTATAACTCGAAGAGAAATTAGGAAAAGAAAGGATCGGGTGTCTATCACGTCTCAAAGAATTGAATGTCATTTAGACGCATCGGGATAGAGTTTTTAGCTCAATGATTTTCCTCTGGCTCTGTTTGAAATAAAAGGGTAATTTAGTGTTAACAACTGCGTTGAAAACGTAGATTCTGTAATCACCTATTTTTATTTCAAATAGTTGTGTTATAACATTCAAAGTTTCTTGGGTAACCACTCTTTCTTAAACCAGGTGCAGCTAATTCTTTTTCGCTTTTTTCACAAGGAGCATTTGAATTAAACGATAATAGACGAATTTCAATGCTGGGTATTTTACTTATAATACACCACGCTCTTACAATTACACAATAAAAGAGAAAGCTTGAAGGTTAACGCCATTTTCTTTATGAGAACGATATATTTATCCACTTCAGACTTTAAGCGTAATGATGGCTTCCTGTGTTGATTCATTATTTAAATTTGTATAAATATTCACCCCGAAGTTCATTTAAATTCATGCTGGGAGCCGGAAAGCAGCCTGTAGCTTTCACAAACTCAATCATATAACTATATTAATGTAAGTCCCTTGAAGCAAAAGTGTTGTAAAACCTTCATAAGCCATGTAGAGTTTAATCATAAGAGGAAAAAACACTTTTGAAAAGAACTATGACAGCATCAACAATGAAGCTGTAAAAGATCAAATTAACCTCACGTTACTGACAAGCGAAACATTGATAATTGGAAAAACAGAACAAATGATACCCTCTGGATCAATACCATTCTATTGTTTATAGTCAATTATTCACGAAGTATATACCAAAGTGTCATTGTTCCTTCAGTTCGAATGAATGAGGCGTCATGGTAAAAAAAAAGAAAAACTGATTATGCGTTGCGTGCATGTTATACTGCAAGTGAGTAGAGTATTTTGGGTGGGCAACTGAATTGTCTGCATGTTAGCCAATGAAGCTGGTCCAAGAGTAAATAAGGGCTCAAAGTACGAAGAAGTGACACCAGCTGTAAAGCACCGATTAATCGCATGTTTTTTTCGAAAAAACAAAATTCCGAAAAATCTCTTTTATACACCGTATATGGTTTAAGGAACGTTTTCTTTCCTTGAAAGAAACTTCACGAATACTTGACGAAGCATTAGATTGTATTTTGATTCTAAAAAAAATCTTAAAAACAAAATTTAAAAACATTTAATGTTAAAAAAATTTGAATGATCAAAATTCTGCAAAGTGTACTGAAATTTGAATTTTAGATCCTTGTGCGAAAAGGTGCAGGAGTAGTTTTCAATAACCGTTTTCCACCGGTCCACCGTCGCACCTTTACGTTTGTTTATTAACCTACCCGTAAGTAACATGAAAAGTCCGAAAATAAAAAGAAATAAAACGTCAATAATTCCTTAGGTATAAACAGATTTCTTTTAAAACATAGATCCAAAAGATGCGTAGAGTAAAAATAGTACAACAAGCAACAGACCTCCTGGATTTTCGACGGTACAAGAAAACAGGAAGGAATGAGAAGGGAAAAGGTAATAACCTCACTTTTGTTAAAAATACATCTAAAGGCCTTAAACTATCGAAGTGAATTAGCTTGACTGAAGACTTAAAGCAGTTAGTCTTTGTCAGACTCGGTAAAATTTGATAAGAAGAACAGGAAGAAAAAAGGGGAACGAGAAACTGCCTCTAAAGTTGCAGGATCTAAAACTGCTCATGTTTCCGTGGAAACCTCTGAAATTCAGCTGATCTAATAATTAAGGGCCTCAGAAACAGGGAAGAATCATTTAAACTTTGTTTTTACCTTGAAAACAGTATTGAAATTTAAGCTCAGAGTAGTATCTTGGTGATCATATTACAATAACATTATTTCCACCCAATCATTACTTAGCACTAAGAGTATCTGATGTGTTTAAGGTGATTGCGCGGAAGGAGTTGAGCTGAAGAAGTCGTGGAAACAAAATGTTTCTGAAGGTTTGTTTCACTTTGCATATGCTTTGCACATTCCGGTCAGGTATTCTTTGCCATGCGTATTCTACTGCTATTTTTATCGGACCTCTCCGTTTTGTCCTGCCATATTCGAGGATAAGGTAAACTGCGAAATTGGTTTTTGCAGTCGTTGATGATTGGGAATGCAGCTGTTACTTTATTTTTGTTGCTATAATTGTCGCAGCCACTGTCGCATCTTTGCTCAGAATATTTTCTCAGTGCCTTTACTGAATTTATTTCTGGCATTGTTATTATTGGTTTAGCTGATGACTTGGCAGAATCACGAGTTAAAGTGTTTTTCAAGGGCATAAGATGTGAACTTAGTGACCTTAACCAGAGAAGTCACATCCCTCTTCTTAATCTTTCATAACTTCAGAATGAATTAACTAAGAGACATGTAATCCTAAAGTTAAGTTTTCTTCCTCGAAGGTCGTTGACAAATCGAGCAAAATTTATTTACCATTGGAGAAAAAAGCGCTAATTTTATAGCTGCACTTTTTTAGTTGGTGACTTAGCAAGATCACGGGTTCAAGAGTGATCGTAATATCTTATATTTTATATTTTATGATAGTTTAGTTCAGTGGCTGTTAACAGAGAAGTACTCCTCTCCTCTGAATCTTTCACCACTTCAGAATAAATAGATTTACAAGACGCGCCAAATTTTCTTCCTCGTCAATATGGTAGGCAAATTGAACAAAGTTTATTTCCATAGGAGAAAAAGCGCTGAAGAAATTAGCAGCGGATAAAGTTGGCAACCGCAGCGGTCAATGGACTGTCGACGAAATTAAAAGCATGGTTACTGTTAAAAATTTATGTTCTTGCAGTGATCCTATATCGACGGCTTTTAAGGTAGAGTAATTTTGCTCCTACGTAAATTTGATTATGATTAAACAATAGTTTCACTTTGACAGGTTTCTACTTATGTTCCCCTGGGACGACGATATGGCAATGACCAATATAAACATCAAATTTGGCTTTTACCTGAGTCATGCAGAGAAAATTTCTGCGAGGGAACCGGGTAACTTTCATTTCAAAATACGTTTTGGGCTCTTCCTATAAAAAACAAGTGACCACTCCAATACACTTTGAACTAAAACCTCAATAAACAGTCTCCTTCTTTTGAATTTCTTGTTCATCTTTTCTCCTGAAAATATATGTTTTTATTATCCCTTTTTTGTGACAAGATCATGCTGAACTCAAAGTAATTACATTTTAATTATATAACAACGCAGAACGCCCAAAGCAGAGTCTTTTTCTGTAAACTGTAAAAACAGGGTGCTTTGAAAATAGTGAGAAAGTTTTTAATACTTTATTCTCATGTTTATTTGATTGATTATAAATTTCTTGGTCTTCAGGTTAACAGTAACTTGCGGGTTTTGGCAAAATCGTACATAGAGAATACCGAGACCCTAAACAATCTTGCAGACCAGACAGAGGATTTTGCTGTGCAGCTCATCGATCAGGTTAATGGCAGTGAGCAGCTTGCATTGCAAGACGTACCGGGAAACGTTAATCGCTGTGCCTCGATGCTCAGCGGCATGACGGATAAGGCAATTGAATATTCTCAAAAGAAAGTACGTATCTTTTTGAAAAACAACACAAATATAGCTCGACAGAGGTGTCACTTTTCTTAAAGATGTTGCATTAAGAGTCCAATTGTGATTACCTACAGAAAACTGAAACTATGGTGAAATACAATCTTGAACAGCACTTTCTCATACCAGACCGGAGTAATATTGGTAATGCATACTGATTTGGAACTTTGCTAGCTTTCATCAGCATGGCTATTTAGTACATAGCTCATATTATACAAGTTTTCTTATTGATTTCGTTTATCATCTTTTTTTTTTTTTTTTTTTTCAATTCTGACTCTTTTTACCAATAACAGATTTGAATTATTTTCTAGTTTGTTGCACATCCTTTATTGTACAAGAGACTACAAATGAGATGGAATCTTGGAATACCTAAGGTTTTAAAGCCTCGTGAAAAGTTTCGACCTTTTCTGTACCTGCTGATACTGATAGACACGATCCTCACTCCATTTCTGCTTCCGATTATTGGATATGCTTTTTACCATGACCAAAAAGAGGTGCAAAATCTTTTAATATAGTTTGTTATGCTTGTTATTTGAGCTATATCGTTTGCTGTCTTTGACGACCGACTTTTGATCTTTCATGAAAACTTTTGTATTCTTATCATTTTGCAGAGGCGTGTGAGGTCACAAGAACAAAGAGGAAAATCGCGTACGGGTGTGAAAAGATCACGATGGAGTATCATAGGTATGTCAGAATACTAGAAAAATTTAAAAAAAAGTTTTTTTTTAAAATAATAAGAGTAAAAAAGCTGGTTGGTCGTTCGGTTTCCTAACTTACCCTCTTGCCAAGTTGATAGAGGGATGGATTGATGAAGTGATCGAGTCAAATATCAAATGATTGATTGATAGATTGAATGACTGGGTGAATAAATGAATGATCGACACATTTATCGATTCATCTCTCGATTTGTTTTCAACAGATTCTTACCTGAATTACCTGACTTCTCCCTTTGTCTTGTTTATAAAAGACAAGCTAACCCAAGTGGTATTTATAGCATTTCACTGCATAGTCTGCACTTCGGATTCTCAGATCGCAATAACATACGAAGAGTACATAATTTTCTTTTTCTTCTGTGGCATGATCCTGAGTGAATTCCAGCAGTACAAGCGGTCGCAACTGAAATATTTCAAGTAAGACATTTCGCTTATGATTGATTTGAAATTTTTGCAGCGTATATCTTCTTTGATAAAGAGGAATGGGCTTCAATTCTGTGACCACGAGTATACAGTAGCTCTTACGGATTTGGTGTTTTTGTTTATTCGGTTAAAAAAAGTGTTTTCAACATGAAACTTTTGGAGGTTAAGAACACCAGCCTTAAAGGAGGTATAGTAGCTTGCGTTAGAAGATTGCTGTGGATGATAGACAGATTAAGAGCCTAAGGAGATCAGAACCTTTTTTTTCCAAAATTCAATTTATGATCACCTACTGTGGGTAAAACGAGGAAATATTGACACCTTTGAGGCCTTCGAATCCGTTGCCCCCACCTTACACTCTCATACAGAGTTCACAAGGCGTGTCGCAACTCTTCACCAGACGCTTCAAGTTAGACTCTGGATTGAAATAATGATTCAAACAGGTGAACATGGAAATCTCTTTTATTTTAACTTGCAGGGACATGTGGAACTACGTGGATGTCCTGACTCTCTTTATCTACATCCTGATCGTCTTGACGCGCATTGCGACGATTATCCGCGGAGGCGAAACTTATGATAATGACCTGTTAGAAACTGCCAACATCCTCTATGGCGTAAATACCATGTTATTGGTATTGCGCTTCTCCAGTATCCTGGAGGTTAACTCATTTGTTGGTCCATTGCAGTTGGCTTTATTTCGGATGATTCTTGACTTACTCACCATACTTATGCAGTTTGCTTTCGTGGTCGCCGCGTTTTCGTTGGCCATAACAAAGGTTTTCAATGCAGATCTCTCCAAATTGGGTTACGGCGCCAACGATACTAGTGGTGAAACTTACTTAGCACCGTGAGTTACGTTTCTTTTCCTTGTTGAATTGTTCTTTTGTTATTGGGACAAGTCCCTAACGGGTAACTAGTATCATTTAATTTATCCGATCAAAAGCTCACTTTTACAACACGGAAGAGTAATACAAACTTTGAATAAATTCAGATTACTAGCAAACTGAAACTGCCCTGACCTGACTGGTTACCAATCCATCCTCCAACTTGAATTTCTACCTTTTGTAAAATAGCTCCGTGTTAGAGTTGTTTCAAGAAGAAAAAAAGTTCAGCAAGTTAAAAAAAAAAAAACAACAATGTGCATGTTAGCGGTATTATCGAAACAGATCCAGAATATTGTCATGCTCTAAAAAAGTCCTTTGGAAATCTCCATAAAGAAGATGGCTTTGGTCATTTAATTGTTTCTAAAGGAAAAATTATCAGTGAAATTATCTTCAGAAATCATCTATGAGAGAATTCTTTCAGGCAATGTAAAGCATTACTCCAGATGTGTACCAACATCAGCCAATGCCTTGGATCAGCCTTTCATGGTAGCACGAGTTCGGCTATCATATAATAAAGTCCTCGATAATAAATTCTCTTTATTTAAGAAATGTCATACATGCCTTTCATCTCTGTTCCTTCTACACTGTCCACTCTATATAAGCTACAAATTTGGCTCTCATTTTGTTCCCATCCAGGTATTGTGACCAAGCAGGGGCATTAGAGTGGTACGTCATTCTATCTGCTTAACCCCTCAACCCATCAGATTGACTAGCATCTAATTTGTCCTTACAACATCACCCCTGAATCAAACTACAAGGTCATATGTTAAAGAAAATAATCAACAAGAAGAACTGAAGCTTATGATTTCTTAACGAATTTTCTCTGCTAGTATCACAGGAACTGTTTAGAGAACAGTGTGGAGAATACGCATACTGATTTCAGTGTGTAATTGGTTAATGAAGATTAGGTTCACATCTTTACATGCGTCTTGTACAGAGATTTCAGCTCAGCCTTTGACAAAAAGGAATAAAACACGCCAGGTTAATTTTTCATCAGTTGAGGGTACATGATTTGTAAGCTGCATTTTTGTTTGGCGAGTCCCTGCTGATCGTTCTTTGGTAGAATCGTTTAGGTATATTATTCCTCAAACTAAGCTCGACTTAACCGAGAGTGAATCGTACCTGGTTATGGCCAACCCACATCGATGTTATAAATAAGTTGTTGTGAAATAGCATTTACAAATATTTGCAAATTATGATTCGCTAAACATTCTCCTAAACGTCGAGAAACAAAATTGCTGCATGGAGTAGCCAGCGCATATTGTTAGGAAAATTTAGTACTCGATGACATGCAAAGTAAGAGTATAATTTTCTGTATCGTTGGACTGAAATTTGTTAGCCGTAATGTCCTTTAGCCAATATCGATCATAACAGAAGAATAATTTCGATTTTTCAGCCTGTACAAGACATCTGGACACCTTATATGGTCAGTGTTTGGTCTAACTGACTTGAATAAGCTGAACACCAATGATAGTCTCGCCTTCCTAGTCACCAGAGGTCTATACTTGGTTTTCCTTATTTTGACCGTTATCATGCTGATCAACATGCTTGTGGCCTTACTTTCCAAGACTTATGACAATATTACGGTGAGATGAGTAACTTAGCAACACTTGAGATAATCATGCGCTGTTTGGTACAAAGCTCCCTTTTTGAATAATCAGAAAAAGAAGAAAACCAAAAACAAATCACGGAATATTTTGAAATGAGTATCGAGGTTAAATTTTTGCTGTCAGTCTAGGATCCTTTCTAGACTTGCTTTACTTCTAGTGCGGATAGGGTCAAATGCATCATGTTTTGTGATAGCTGTTACATAGGCAATACCTTTGTCATCAAGCAAGCAGTAAAAATATGATAAGTACCATTTCCCCATTAGTGTTTGTCTATTTTTTGTTTCTCTTCCACGTGGGTAAGCTGGGTGAATTTACGTGACTATTTACTCTCGTAACCTGTGGTACACTGCTGCTGATGGATGCATTCACACTCAGTTAGCCGTCCATAAACTTGGTTATTGATGACACGCGCTTGGATGGCTTAAGATTTCGATCCTATCTCTGAGGGGTTCTTTGGTACACCATGTATGGCCGATCTTTGATTGTTCGTTTGTTGGTTTTTTTTTTTGCGTGAGTGTTAAACGAGATGTTGTTTGTTTGTGTGTGTTTTTTTGCTTGTGTGTTAAACGAAAAGGTCGCATTGACTTCATGCTTATAAACGCTTACATCCAGCTAGTGTTGCACCTTTTTAATTCAGAAATCATCAACGAAAAATAAGACGTCTGTTGTCTTTCTTGCCTGTAGAACAATGCGGAAGTTGAGTGGAAATTTTCACGCGCTGTTGTGGAAAACCAGTACAGGAATCTTCACTCTATTGTGGTACCGTTCAACCTGCTATCTGTTCCAGTAGCACTCCTTTACATTCGTTTGCATGGTAATCCTCGTGAAGAGGTAGGTGCAACTCTTATAACCTAGGAAGCTAAGTCAACATCGAGATATTTTGTCTTTTTATCAGTTCGTTTTTAACTTTCAAGTCAGAAACCAGATATGTTTCACTATGACAGGATGCAAAAGACCGTCGAAAACAATACAAGAATTTTTATCGCGAGCGTCTGTTTCCACTGCTTACTAAAAGGTATCTCGAAAAATATGGTGGAGCGTTTCCATTGTCAGGTAGGTTGTGTAACTCTTGCAGTTTTTTTCAAAATGTTAGGGTAGCGGTTATATGAGAACTCAAAGGTCACAATTATTAGTTCGGTCTTTTCCGATGTGAGTAGCGATAAAATCACGTGTACCTCCTCAGGTGGGACAAAGAGCACTGCTAACACACCCGTTGAAATAACTATACACACGACAGCACGTATGTATCAGGCCACAATCGGCTGAATGGGCTCAAACCCATGGATAACAATGCGATCAACAAAGCTATCATTGGGAGCCGATTGTTATTCGAGTTTATTTTATGCCTTTAATTAGGCCACTGTATGATAGTAATTATATTTAAAATGTGGAACTAAAGTATGTATCAAGCAAAGAAACATCGTCCCATAAAGAACACAACTTAAGCACTTTTGAAAATGAAGCCTAAAATTCGGGTTAAATGCTCTGTTTTCTTTTTGTCAAAAATAGATTTTAGTATTGCTTTAGTTGATTTTCAGGCTTTATTGTCATTATTGCTTTTGTCAATTGTGTAAACTGCGATAAATAGTCTTTTTTACATCATTTTTTATGCTTTAAAGTTACATTTGTTATGTTTTAGTTGATGACAAGATCGACCTGATAATGCAGAATTTGAAAATTTCGCCCTTAAATGTAAGTATTACACCTCCACTGATTCGGCGTTAATTGTCAGTTATACTATGCATCTGCTCTTGCAAAAAAACTTGGTCCATGAAACTGGCGGGTGGTTGAATGTCTCAATCGCTAGGACTAGATAAAGTTTCCTTTGACCCTTTGACGGTCGGTGTCTGGGTGTGAAAAAAAAATTATCAAAAATTGGTCAAAACTCATGAGATACCTTTGTGTAACATGTTTAACATGTTTTGAAATTTACTCGCTTAAGTCAACCAAAGCTTTGAAATACTCAATAAATGAATGGTTCGAACTCACTCAGCTGAAATATTTCAGTTTCTGCCAGTTTAATTGTTTGTTCGATGATCGGACAACATGGTCCTTTAGATCTAGTAGTTATATGAAATACAGAACAGGACTTGTAAGGCCCTCATTTGAATTACTACGTGTATGGGTCTGAGTATCATTATGCAAGAGATGAAAAAACAGTTTATAATATCTCCTGCACTATGATATGACGTCTTCATGGGGGTATAACCTGCGATGTGTAGGATTCGGCAGCTACTACCGAATAAAGCCAGAATAGATACAAACAAGCATGGTTTCCATTTTAATTTGTTGCTTAATTTTAGGAGGAAAACAATGCCAGAAGCGTTGGGGAAGGTGATTTGGATAATTTTCCCGTACCGGAGAACAGCCAGATGCCGACTTCATCAACCAAATTTACCAAATTCACAGCACCAATCAACGATGTATAGCTCGCCTAGCAATCTAGTTCTATATCACGTCTAAAACTCTCTAGCTTTAAGTTGTTTCGATTTTTATTTGGCTCCTAAAGAAATATTTTATCTTAGTTTGCTCTTCAGCTCTAGCTCATATAATTCTAAACGTAATCATGTAGTGTATGTTGCCATGAACTTAATCAGGTATATTTCACTTAGTCTGTTTTCCGGCGAACCACAATGCGGACTTCGTCTGCTAGCTTTCAAAACGCCGTTTATTGAAAGTAGAAAGGCTAATCTCCCTTACAGTTATCTGTATCCCTTTTCCCCCTCTTGAAACTTAAAACTTATTAAAAAAATTTAAGTATTCATGTTTCGGGACGATGGGGAAGGGGAAGAAGAGGGAGAAGAGGGAGGCGATCAAAGTGTGTCATGGACTGCAAAAATACGTAAAAGAAAAGTGGAAAATACTTGGCAATTCGAGGGTTAAAATGATTATGAGCTAGATATAAATAAAAAGTTCATAAATGTTATGAAAAACTGTTTTTTAATTTTGAAAACATAAATGGAACATAAATCCGACGCTTGTAAGACCCAGGCTATAATTAAATACAAACCAAATATCGATAAGCACCTCTAACTTTAGAACAGAGAGTTTCGGAAATATCAAGTCATTAATCATGTGAGCCTTATCTTGATTTTCTCGTTAAACTACGTGTATAATGATGTATAGTAGAAAGGACGCATTCATTCAGAGGAGATAAACGTGTGATCCACCACTCAATACAATTTGCGTGATCTATACACTTCCGGCCAATATAGGCGTCCACAAGAGACGGGCTAACGGCCTATATCATCAAGGCTTCTGTTTCTTTAGGCATGAAACGAATAAGAGTTCTTCGACCGGCCCTGAATCAAATGGGGTGCTAATCCGTGACCGCAGGTGACAATTACGTTAGCGTTTCACCCTCCACTCCGCTATTGCAGATACATCTCAGGAATACCATGTTTTGCCCATAAGTTATCATCCTCTGAATGAAACCTTCCGCGTCAACTTGTAGATAAACTGATTAACAGACAGCAAACACGTGGATATTTAAAATTATTGAGAGCGACAAATGAAATTATTTATAGTGGAATGTGGTTCCTGATGTAGCAAATTACCTGCTGCAGCACAGTTAATTAGGTAATCTTCAATTAATGTTCAAATTACCATCTATATTAGGAAATACGTATTCTAGTTTAATGTCTACTTTTCTTCAGTAGTTCATAGTACCTTGATATTAGATTGGGCTTTGTTCTTAAGTTAATCGTTCAAAAGTTATACACTATAAAAAACTGTAACAAAACTAGGGTTAAATAAGAAAAGAGGGTGGCAAAGGTTTTAAACGCAACCCATGATTACACCAAAAATTGATAGGCGACGCGGGAATTTTTACAGCAAAGCAATGTAAGGTGAGATTTGTATTTTCCTCTTCTAGATTCGTAAAGCATGAAACATTGTTTAAATTACACGCGACGCATGGATTTTACCAACATTCATGCGTGAAACGGCACCTGGTAACCCCCCCCCCCCTCCCTTCGATCCCCTTTGCTACCCTCAACAAAGAGAGATGACATCTACTCGATCAATTTAGAAACCCGAAACTTAAAGGCGCAAAAAATCACAAGACTTGCACACAGGCCAAGAAGAGTCAGAAACATAACAAAAAAATGAATAAATGAAGAATAAAGAAATAACGAAAGAAAACGAAATATTACTTTATTCATCATTCCAAACAATTATAAATGTGCTAGTAAGATAGTTCCTGTTACCGGCCTATGTTCCTCGGTCTGAGCGGGCACATATGAAGTATTTTCCTCATAAGCAATCCGGGTGCTTTCACTGATGGTAGAACTTGTGACCTTCCGATCGTCAGCTCAAATGCTTTCGATGGAACTTTATCGAATGCCGTCCGCTGTTGCCAACATTTCGGGCTGCTTTACAACCCCGAGAGTGTTCATGCTGGCATGCGTTCTTAAAAGAAGACTATGAAGGAAATTTTGAAATGTGAAACGACTCAAAAGTGGAAGCCTTTACAATTTTTAAACATAGCAGACCAAATTGTGTGATTTGCCTGGGTTTTTACGCCGAAAAAAATTCAGAGAAAAGGAAAACAAAAGTATTGTCATGTGAAGAGCACAACCAGTTCTGAACAATAGATTGAAATCCTTCCGGGAGAAGGAAAACAACATGTTTATTTATAGATAATGATTTCATTATTGATTGGTTATAGAAGGTCTAAGGATGTTTAGGTTAGCCGTGCTGTCAATAAGATTTTGTGATCTCGTCTCAGTCTCTAGGCTGCTGTCACTAATTACACAAATTATCTGGAAAACACACTCGGGTGACACGGTATTAATTAGTTTGTTTTCTTCTTTCATCCTCTCCAAAACAGATGTCCTTGAGTCTCTCCATAAACGTACAGTAGTGTGTCAAATCTCTCGTATTCTCAGTGAACCGCGGAACAAAGGGCATTTTGGATACCGCGCATCACTCTTTGTAAAAAGTAACGAGTGTAAGTCGCACCATGGGCTCCTTTCAAAGACGCTTTAGACTATTCAGGTAAGTTTACCAGTCGTCTTAAAAGTGCGAAAAATGTAAAAGTGATCACTATAACTTTTACTATAATGTCTGTTTTGTTTTTTTGATTTTTTAATTGGCAAAATATAATGTGATAATGCCGTGCTGTGGATGTTCCATGGGTTACGGGTGGACCCTGAAACCTGGAGGCTGTGCATCACATGCACTGCAGGCGGCTCTTCACTGTTTAGAAAAATGATAAGTGAAAGGTATCGTAACCAAATGAGGATTCAGACACTTGAACTGTGGAGAGTAATTTCTTAAGAGCGAGACTAAGACTTAGCCGGGATTAAAAATTTGATAAAATTAAGCAAAAAATTATAAAATGGAAGGAAATGAAATGCCTTCTAAGAATAATCTCATAGCTATAAACTCTGATGAAATGACCTGAGGAAGCCTTACATAATAAATACCGTGATGAAAGAATTGTGGTGTAAGTGTGTAGTGTGTACTGAAACTTCTTTTCGGTCGGATGGAAAAGGAAGAAAATATAATATTTCTCTATTTCTTTGCTTGGATTAAGTTTAAGGAAAATCGACAAAAACGAAGGAACGATTTAAATTTTCTTATTAATAATAATGAGCTTAGCGCAATGATGTGTTGCGTGACTTTCCTTATAAAGTCGCTTGCCGTCTAAACACGAAATTAATAAGTTATTGTTTCGTAAAGCTGTTGAGGATCGTACAACCAACGTTGACAAAGTCGCACAATAAAGATAAATAAATAAAATAAAAATGGTTTAGCACAGAGACTGTGAATAAGGTTGCATTAAAACAATTGTAAAGGTATCTACTCAGCCTGTCACGTATTTGAGCGTGGTTGATTCAAAACAAAAAAAAGCGTTTTGTCATTTAAGACCAGTATCAATTTTCTGACTGATTTTAGAATTCACGATCTTGGCACATGCTCATGTAAAATGTAACTGTTGTAGACCTTATGAGGTATTTCTTGGAGCAACTCCTGATGTACCAGGTAGCCTGCGTGACGAGTGCGTTTCACGTGCTTGTCACGCGTGTGACATGCTCAGTAGAGAATTTGCAAGCCAAGCTTTCAAAGGCAAGCGAGCTCGGGATACGAACAACGTGATTTAGGGAAGTACAAGAGCAGATCGAAACGCGCTGTTCTCTGAACAGTGCGGAGTTATTCACGAGGAGAAACTTAGTGAGACTCTTAAATTTACAGGGAATCGAGCGAAGAGGACACAGAAAGCCGCGGCTTGAACGCTATAAGGTTTGTAATTTTAAATTTGTTGACAAAAACATTCATCCGATTGATATCCGTTTTGTACAATCAGCTAATCATTTGTTTACTTTCTCCTCCAGCTCCACAATGTCTGTCTCTGATAACGATTCAGATGTCAGCGAAGACGGAATTTCGATGAAGATCGACTCGAAAGGGAGCAAAGATTGCAACGTAAGTAATAAAATGAGACACACATCAGTAGCTAAATGTTACATGAGGTCTCAGTGTTTTCAATATTAAACATTCATTTAAGTACAGAAACCCATCGCTTGTCCTTTAAAAGAGATATTTTAAGGCATAGTCAATTACTTCTGTTAATCTTACTTCATCGGGAATTATGATTGACTGAAAAGCACACTTCATATCCCAAGACTAACTTCCAATCATATCGTACTTCAATTTCATGAGGTAAACCATTCAAATATCGTTATAATGTGGTAGGCTAAGTTCTCCAGTCAACGTTTTATGTACCCATTACGTAAGTGAGTTTTCTTTGGCTAAGTGTCAAAGGGACGAGTTTACTTGTGTGAAATAAAATCCAGCAAACCTGTTGAGCCTTTGTCTAGACAGTTAATTTTGGGGGTGTGTTGGAGGTGTGGTATTGTGCAATAATGTTAATTGTGTACAAAGTACGGCTGGAACTTTTTTCTATTTTTTCTGATTACTTTAATTTTTGCTTAATCCCATATTTCTAATTTATATAAAACTTGAAGTAATAAATTGTTTACATGCTATTCCCTGTTATTTGTATTTGGATTAATTTTTCCAGGAGATTTTCTCAATTGTTGTGTTTGAAATAGCACTAAGTAAATTGCTCTAAAGAAATGAGGCATTTTCATATTGAAGTCTTATAAAAAAAATTTCTCAATGGCATATAATGTTCAAAGTTTATGCTTTAAGTGATAATTCTTTATTTTATTTATTGTACTTGTATTTATTTACCTAATTGTGTGCATATCTGAGTTGGTAGTACTAATATTAAGCCCAGAGAAATAAACCAACTCCTAAAAGAAGTGGATAAGACACACTTGAAAACCAAACAAAAATTTAGAAAGAATGTTGTAGATTATGTTACATAGTAGTGGCTAATATTATAGTATAGTGACTATCAGTAATAGAGTCTGGCTCTAATTTTGTCTCAACAGACATTTGCAACACCTGCGGAATTTGTCAAGCGTTGTGGTGGCTCAAGAGTTATAGAAAAGGTCCTGATAGCCAATAATGGCATTGCAGCTGTGAAATGTATGAGGTCTTGTAGACGCTGGGCTTATGAACTGTTTGGTAATGAGAAAGCTATACGTTTTGTTGCAATGGTCACCCCAGAAGATCTACGGGTGAGCAGCTTTGAAAATTCTACTGTTCTTAAATCTTTATATTCTTGATGATATGGTTTTTAAGTGAACTGGTAATCTGCCTAGTTTCTCACAAAAATATCACAGTATATCTCCCATTTATTTCCACCAGATATAAAATTGTGTTCAGAATGTTATAGTGCCTACTCAATTTGCTATAAAAAAGATGACCATACATTTAGATTAGTCGGATGTTCATGCTTTAAAGTTGATCTGAATGGTTGAAGTTAATCTTTTTTATTCATGGGGACATAATACTCATTATTAAGAAAATCAAGAATTTACTTTGAAGTACAAATGACTTTCAGGCTAATGCAGAGTAC